AGAATCAAATCAATTTGGGCATCTGATGACCCCTTTAATGTTAATTTCAACATTTACTAATGCATTATTACAATCAAAAGCTGTATCTGTTAATATTATTTAATGGACTTAACATGAACTAACAATGAACAGTTGTATTTTTATTATTAACAAAGATTAATGCTGTAACAAATGTATTGCTCGCTATTAGGTAAAATTATTTTATGCAGTAACTACAGTAAACTACTACCTTATTGTGAAGTGTTCCCATTATTTTTATGGAAAAATATTCAGAATCAAAATCTAAAAATGTTATAGAAGCATGTTTTTAATAAATAGTGTTTAATTAATTTAATGTATTAACACTTCCAGTTTCTGTTAATAAAAAAGTTTGAAAAAGAAAACAAGCAGCATTGTCATAAATATAGCAGAAATACCTGAGGAAATATATTAACAACCACACATTAACATCTCAGAACAAGGTGGAATAATCATTATTTTATCATTTCCATTTAATTCCATACATGCACTGTTAAGTATCACATAATTATAGCTGGATGAGTGGTGTGTGTTTGAGTCCATAGAGACCTGTTGATGTTTGAATCTGATCATTTTTGAAACGTTTTAGGTTTCTTAGAACTGCTGCATCGACAAACCGCAAAGATCCTTGATTTTCTTTTTTAGCATAAGTAAGAGCTTAAGTGTACTAAATGCAGTGTGGAATGATATCATTAACCTAAAGCAGCTTGGATACTGTATTCACTGTCCCGCTAAATTCAGCAACATGAGTGCACAGGGTCCATAAATATACAGTGTATTGGGTTTCTCAAGACTTTTATCACACACACTTTCCCTTCCACAGGGCTGTGTTTGTGTTTATTGAGCATCTTTCCTAAAGCTGTGAGTAGCTATCTTAATTAAATTAGCTGAGGTTTCAGAGTTAGGGTTTTGAAGGCTTGCATACGCTTGTGTTTAATTTTTTATGAGGCGTGCCGACTCGAGACCTTTATAAAAGAAGTTGCTTTTTGTGTTTGATGTGCCTGAGTGTGTAGGAGTTTTCCAAGGAAAATAAAAGTAATAATGTCTAAACCACAGACAGTATGTCACATATATAGAATTTTCTCTTTACTCTTGAATTTATTTATTTTTGAACTTATTCAAGAATTTAGAACAGATTAAACTTCACTCCTCCTGAAGTTTCATGAATGTATTAAATAAAATATGTTATAATTGAATAACTCTGTCCAAGAAAAGACTTGTTTTGCAAGCTTGAATATATAAATTATAAATACAAAATAGAAAAATAAAAAAGTCAGACAATAATGTTTATTATTATTATTATTATTAATGAATATTTTTGTCACTGTAATCTGAATTCAGCCACTTTCAGATATTTTATTAGCACTTAATGCCATTCTTTGTCTGATAGAATGTTTAATGTATTTTAAAACAAATCACATTTCCAAATTGCATTGGTTTCATAGAATGGCACTGTATATTTACAGTTGTTTGTTTCTATTTCTATTTCTAGAAGGAATTTTTAAGAAACACCTGAGACGGTGCATCCCTGCTGAGTGTTATCCTAGCCTTCTTTCCCCAGTAATGATAGGTGCAAACTCTCAATATACCTTTTCCTGCTGCAGTGGCCATGACTCCCTGTTCACAGTGTGTAGGGTATCAGACCGCACAGCGGGACTCCAGTTTTAAGTGCTTTTAAGTGAAGGGCACACCGTGACCTCTGCACAGAGTGAGCTTTGATCTCATTGGCTGTGAGGATCCGGTGAAAAGGTGCCGTTTGTTATAGAGCAGGTCAGTCTTAAAGACTTCTCCTAGGATCAGATGGGGCACCTTCACTGGTGACCTGACCATGAAACCCACCTTGACAAGAAACACACACGTGTATGAAGACACTCCGTGCTAACTCAGCATAACTGAAGAGGCACTTCCGCTGAGCTGTTTAATCCTTTCGCTCAAATAATAATAAAAAAAAGAATCCTCACAAGTCAAAGGAGATCAAGCATGTCCTTCTGAGGTATTCAAATTGAAAGACGTTCATTAATATGTAAAATACAGGAAGCCTGTTTTCATAGAAATCACTTTTCCTAATCTTTGCTGTGTTAAAGGGATAGTTCACTCAAAAAAGGAATTTCTGTCATCATTTACTCACCCTCATTGCAAATCTGTGTGACTTGCTAAAAATTCAGCTTTTCTATCACGGGAATAAATTACAATTTAAAATATATTAAACAGTTATTTTAAGTCGTAATAATATTTTACAATATTGTTGTTTTTACTTTTGATAAAATAAACCCTTGGTGAGCATAAGTGACTTTCAAAAACATTTAAAAAAAAGTCTTACTGACCCCAAACTTTTGAACGATGTTGTACACACATCCAATCCACTTTTGTAAATCCAAACAAAGTTTTAAGTGTTTACCAGAGGCGCGGGAAGATATTTTCGGTTGGGGGTGCTGGGTGAAGGGGGGGGGAGTCACCTCACATTTGACATCCCCACAAAGCACTACAACCGCGTCGATATGAACACTCGTTTAAGTGGCATACACACTGGGAAATTTGACTGCATATCACATTTTTGAAATTATCGATAGTAGCTGATCAATCTCGGGGGTTGGGCTGGGTCCGCTAGGCTTACTTGTCTCCGTGCTCGTGCTGGAGCTGGTTCACTTACGTCGGTGCTCGTGCTGGGGCTGGTGTTGGATGCCTATTTTGGAAAGTTTTTGCTGGGATGGGCATTTAAAAAAATCTGAAATTCGCTTTTGCGCCATTATCTCCTTGTATTAAAGTTAATCTTGTTTGCATTCTGTACAGTTCATGTCTGATACCACGCGCTAGCGTCACGTGTTCATGAGGATTAGGCTAATCATCCCATATAGAAAACATCACAAGTAAAATTAATCATGTTTATAAAGATAAACATGGGTTTATTATAGCTCACTTACAATTTACATTTCAGAGATCATTACAAATACATTATTAAATGCTAAAACTGAATAAATTTAAACGAACAAACTTGACTTTGCATTTGCAACCATGTGAAAACAGGGGGTGCTGCAGCCCCCTCAGCACCCCTACTTCCCACATCCCTGGTGTTTACTGACTGTTTTGGCCAGGGAATGCTAGAACGCAACTGTACACAGAAGAAGTGGTCAAGGGCACGTCACTGTAAATAGATAATGCATTCACACTTCTCTGTCCTCACTTCCCTTAATGAGCCTGTCTGAACAGATATGCCTTTGACCTTGTGCAGCTAGTGACCGCAAGATCTAATGACTCCACATTTAAACTTCTGTTAAAAGTGTGTTAATTTGCTGACAGCTTTTACTTCAAGTTTCCAATTTAAGTCCTAGCTCACTGGTGTTAGTTTGCAAAATGTGTGGCATGATCTATTAGCTAGAGTATTTACAGGGTTATGCAAGTGCAATAATTTTACTCACTAGAAGAGGATTTCATAAGAAAAATATTAATTACTGTTTCTGGTTGTGACTGGTTATCTATCTATTTATCTCGATAGAACAGCAAAAATTCATCATTCTTTATTATTATTTCCAATTTCTTATTATTATCAATGTTGAAAACAGCTGTTACTTAATATTTTTGGGGATACTTTTTTTCCAGGATTCTTTGATGAATAAGATTGTAACTAAACTGTAATAAAACTGTAACTAAACTAAACTGTAATTGCACTTTCATGAAAAAATACAAAGATTCTGAAAGATTCCTTCATTGAGGTAGATGCCATAATCAGTTATTATGATTTTACAGTGGTTATTATGATTTTACGGTAGTACTATACTAGTAACTATTATTTTCTATAGTGGCATACACTGCTGTTTGTGGAAATCATACAGAGTTGTATTAGCTTAATGTGAATCAACATAGCCTTTGCCAAAATCCAAATGCACTCCATATGCTGTTGCACAGAGCAATTGTGAAGAAAAAGATTAATTCCCTCCATTAATGCAAACATACAAAATGTATTTACAAATTAGCCTGCCAGAATAAACAGTTTAACACATTATTGCGCCTTGCATTTTCCATATTGATCTGTAGTGCAACGACACCAAACGGTGCCAAATTTCTGTTGCCTGGCCCAGAAAATATGTTCGACTGAAACATACCATCTGAGTGCTTTATTATGTAGAATACAAATTACAGCTCTGCACGATCCCAAATTGAACCGGGGGGAGATTAATAACCCCAAACATTGCTGACGGGCAGAACAAACAGTCGGGCTGTCAGAACGAAGCCGGATTCTTCTCTTTAGCGCTGCCTCAGCACCACCATCCTTCAGTCGCTTTCAGCACCAGCCATTAGCAGTGTGTGAGTATGAATGAAGGCCATTTCATAAATGGGCACGAGAGAGTAAAGTGTTGCTGGCAGGCGGAGCACAGACAATCGATGCCTTTGCCTTCATCTTCAATCCTTTATCTCTGTGATCAGAGCAACGCCGTGCTGGCACTTATTCAAACTCACAACTTCAATTTCGGAAGGAAGTTTGAAAAGCATTTCTCATAGGACACCTCACAGCGCTCATTTGCATCGACTCTGAATCAGGATAATAGCATTTGGGCTTCTAAACTCCATCCGCCACTTCAAAGCTTTGCTTATTGAATCAGCGTCTCCTCATAAAAGGTCTCAATTAGAAGTCAATCGTTTCAGTGACTGTTTATAAATGTTAACGTCTAATTTATGATGCACAAGATTCCAGACGGTCAAATGACCGTGCTAAACTTGCATTCTCCAGACAGTTGCATATAGTCATACTGTATATCACTTCCTCATTCAGAGCAGAACTTATCTGCCCCATATTTTCAGCTTATTATAAACAAAACTTAAACTTCCCTATGATGAGGTTAACTAGCATGTGACACAATGACGGCTTCTTCTGACTTGATTCTGTACTAAAACATGCTGTATTTAAGGTTTAGTGCATCAATTTAATGCAGGATTAAAGAGCTCTTCCTGTGGTACTTTCTAAATCTGGTGTGTTTGATCTTCAGAGGTGTGTAATGGAAATCTGAAGAGCATCCTGGGTCTGTTCTTCATCCTGTCCCGCTACAAGCAGCAACAGCAGCACCAGCAGCAGTACCTGCAGTCGTTAGTGGAGCTTCAGCAGCACGTCACACATCAGACCACAGGGGCGGCACCAGCGAGCCAACACAAAACACAAGACATGCAGTCCAGGTACGACACGTCTTATGATATCTATTGCTGTTGCTCCTCCATTTGACTTCTGCATCTTTAATCATGAAATAAATGGCCAATAAATGGAAACAGACAGACAGACTGTCTGTCTGATAGATAGATAGATAGATGGATAGATAGATAGATAGATAGATAGATCTGTAATATAAACAGCCAAATTTTGTTCACATTTTTATTTATTTACTTTTTTGTTCACATTATTATTGATATAATAGTAATAGTAAATGAATAATAATATAATATAATTAATATAATATAATATAAACTATAGGCAAGGCAAGGCAAGTTTATTTATATAGCACATTTCATACACAATGGTAATTCAAAGTGCTTTACATAA